AATGTGGCAACCTTACTCCTCTTACTCAGGACGATGATGATACACGAGTCACATCACGATATGGAGATCATATTGTGAACATGCACCAGTTGCTGTAACGCGAGTGAATCACTCGGCGAGTGCATTTCCGATCTTTGCCACGCAGTAGTGTAGGCTATAGTTCGCCTTATTCCCCCCAACATGCATAGGAGTTCTTGAGCAATTATTCTGAAATACCCTTCACGTGAGCGTTGTAACAAGTTCATCGCTCATCGGTCGGTCCAACTTTAGTCCCTTCGTCCCGACTTCCCTATGCCTCCTGCGCGTTGTGTTCCCGGGAAGTCCCCTAACTCTAACCCACAGGGCTCCAGCAGCGCCAAGAGCCCACACGTACCATACCAGGCACAGTTCGATAAAGTCCCTCCGCACTGATTTACCTCGAGAGCAACACACATATCAGAGAAACAGATATCAGCAGTGAGGCAGTTATCATCATTGACAATACAACACACAGACTAGACAGCTACGCTTCACTTGGTCTCGCAAAGAACTCCTTGAGATCGGCGATATCTTCTAAACTGTCCAAGACCCAAGTCGCCTTATTGTATCTACCGGCTCGAAGGTGATGCGCATAAGACCGACAGTAAGCGCAGTCCTACGTGGCAGAGTGATCCACTTCATCACACTGAAAGCGTTTGTCTGGTAAAGCCACGACGCGCATTCCTGCTGCTAAGGCCGCTTGTACCCCTTGGGCCGAGTCTTCGAAAACAACGCAATCCTGAACACGATGCCAACGATCAAGACGAATCGATTTAACATGGTTGAGCACAACGAGGCACCGACCTTTGGATTCGCATCGAGCCTCCTGGCAGCCTCGAGAAAGATGTCGGGTGATGGCTTGCCCTTCTTCACGTGAGGATCATCCCCACATACACAGATAGGAAAACATTCAGCGATCTGTGGGATGTGGCTGACCTTCTTTTGGAACTGTCAAGACAATTGATCGATACCACACCATGTTCAAAGTGTGTTGAAAGCCTACAGAAGGTGATATGGAACTAGTAGCAACAGCCCGCTTAGGGTTGTACTTCATCAAGTCTTCCATTACACGAGCAGCACCTGGTACGATTGATTCTAGTTATGATGTGGTCAGCAGTTACTAATTACTTGTTGCGGATCGAGCGGAGCTACCATTAATGCCCAAAATATTTTTTTGTCGAATTTCAAATGCGCGACTTGGATTTATGGGTACTCAAGCATGGGGAGCTCAATGGTGAGAGAATTAAATCGAAATTCATCAAAATGAAAGAAAAAAGTGTTCGCCTAGTTCACGCGTTCCTAGATGGCGCGTACTGTATATTGCAAGTTGCATCATTTCGAATGTGCGGGCGTACGAATTATTTATCAATTTGGAGAATCTCCACACCCCGAGAGAGTTTGAACACAATGAAACTACCAATCGAGAGCAACATCTAGAAAAATATGGAAATCTAGATTTGGTGCCTCCCCGAAAGTATATAGACCGAAAACACTTTTCGCTAAACACGTGACGAGCTCCGCCGATTCGTCGAGAAGGCCTGCTCTTGAGCACCTACCTGGCATCAACTCAAGTTGTCCATAGAGTGAGTCCATGCACTCATAGTATTCTTTTATATACTGCTCACGAGGGAGCTGTGCAGGAGTAATGTTGTTGCCATCCAAAACCTAACAGGGTTAGAGCAGAGGATCGACTACAACACTTACGATTCGACTCCAATCCTCAGGTTGTCTGCCCATCAGCTTAGCATGCAGCGCTGGTGTTAGTTTACCACCGAACTTCTCAATGGGCTTGCTCAAGGCGATAGCTGAGGCACCTGTCAAGACGAACGATACATCATCATAGAAGAGAGTATCATCACCTTCGTAGTCGATGAGAGTACCATCAACATCGAAAATGAAGGCAGGCAGATCGTCTGACTGATTAACCATTGTATGAAAAGTAACTTGACAAGGGGTCATGGATAGTATCACATTCAGTTAATACCTCGGGCAAGCCAACAACAGATATCGAGTACTAGAAACGCTGACAATATTACTACTGCTCCTCCATCATCAACTCCTAGGAACGGTTTCAATATTATAATATCTACAAAACGAATGCTTGTACAACTAAGTGAATAACAATGCTGCTCAACGACAGTGATAAAACGGTCAGTTCATACGACGATGATAGATGTGAGAGACCTGAGTGATGGTAGTAGGAGTAGGATACATACAAGAGGATCTATTACATCTGAAATCGTCCGACAAGATCCACAACGTATGTATTGTGTGCCCCACGGGGCCAGGTTGGACACATGACATACTGAGCATATCATGTTGATTGTCTGAGTGATAGCAATCGATAAGACCTTGTGATATCGGGGATACTACCTGAGCTCCCATAAGAGCTCCGTTCCCTGAGGGTGCTGGCTGAGCAGTAACACTATTCATAGAGTTACATCGCGGACACTGGACATAGGTTGCATGCGGCGCGAACCTATGCAACGACAGTGCGTGTCAACTTGCTATGCGAAGTTTAGGAATGTGTGTTTTCCTCGAGATTAATAAGAAACGATCTGGAAAGATATCGCGTAAACAATGTAAACATTGCTATGAACATGTGATGTGATAATGGTAACCTTTCGAGACTATGATAGCGACAAGTTGTTCACTATCATTAATCCCGGAATAGACAACACACATTCTCCACATTTGCATAGTATCAAATTGGCACACACTATAATGAGAATAATTGACATTAGTATAAATCCCAGCGTTAGTGATATGATAAAAGTAACCTTTCGAGACTATGATAGCGACAAGTTGTTCACTATCATTAATCCCGGAATAGACAACACACATTCTCCACATTTGTATAGTATCAAATTGGCACACACTATAATGAGAATAATTGACATTAGTATAAATCCCAGCGTTAGTGATATGATAAAAGTAACCTTTCGAGACTATGATAGCGACAAGTTGTTCACTATCATTAATCCCGGAATAGACAACACACATTCTCCACATTTGCATAGTATCAAATTGGCACACACTATAATGAGAATAATTGACATTAGTATAAATCCCAGCGTTAGTGATATGATAAAAGTAACCTTTCGAGACTATGATAGCGACAAGTTGTTCACTATCATTAATCCCGGAATAGACAACACACATTCTCCACATTTGCATAGTATCAAATTGGCACACACTATAATGAGAATAATTGACATTAGTATAAATCCCAGCGTTAGTGATATGATAAAAGTAACCTTTCGAGACTATGATAGCGACAAGTTGTTCACTATCATTAATCCCGGAATAGATAACACACATTCTCCACATTTGCACAAGCATCCTAGTAGACGACTTCTCTATTACTCTAGTAAAGTATGGCATCTGTAGCATTCCAACCTAGGCTGTGGTGGGGGCTGACAAGACAACAAATAGGGGTCCCCACATTATCGGGAATTGCCCTACCTCTACTATGCGACGGTTATTGCTAGCTATCGAAGTTATACTCCCATCTGGATTCTCGATGAAGAACGCCGCCTCAGGACGTTGACCAGAGGTCGGAGACTTATTGTTCGCAACAGTTGTAGCCATGCTGAAGCGAGGGTCGGCAACAACAAAAGTAACTGTATGCCGCAGGTGATGTTAAGCTCAGCAGGTCCCATTAACATCCTCCCAAGAACACTAGGGGCCTCTGATGAAAACGTTCGTACAGCGCTACGTAGTGTCGTCGTCATCATCATCATCTAGGTCTGCATACAGAGATGCTCGGAAGTCCCCTCCAGACGCCCTGATATCTCTCAGCTGTTCGCTACTCGATCCAGCGTCGAGATCCTCATACCGCACCAACCGCGTCTTGTCCACCATAACCTATGAAGGCCACCGTCCATCTCGAGGTCATCTGAACTATCTTTGCTCACCTCCTTGTCAATTCCCTTCAGTTTCATAGCCTCCCATCGAGTTGCATCGGACGTATCCCGTTTTTGCCGCTTTCTGGACCTATAATGCATCTTACCACACCAACATGAACTACTACTTGCACCCCTACCCTCTTCCTTGATCATCATCCTGTATTGATGACGTAGTACTGTGTACACTTTCGACACTACTACTGCTGACCACTGACCTAGGGCTCAGAAGGGCTGAACTACACGAGGAGGAGGACGACGACGACGACACACTCCTCTCAGATGCAACAGACGGGGACCTAATGAACGCGAAATGCCGAAACAATAAAAGGCATCATCCCTACCGAGGCGGCCTTTCATCTGGGGTTCTACTCCTTGATCGTTGCCGGCGAGGACTACCACTGCGGCTACGACTACTACTACTACGGCTAGATACGAGTGATGCCGCCGACTTGGTGGACTGGCCGATAGCGATGCCCCTTCTAGGTGGCATCAGAAGGAACAGAGGGCAATATGGTACAAGAGCTAGTCGAATAGCAGCAGTGGGACTTCAAAAACAGATATAACAAAACACTAATAAGGATTGTTATTGGACTTGACAAAAGTTATAAGTATCCAGAATTCTAACAAGACTATGAATATCAGTGGTAGTAGGTGGTGCTCTTATCCAAGTAGGTTTCCGTAGGTATACCCTTACTACGATCAGATTCCCCCACAGCTGGAGGAGGACCTACAGGACAAGACCTCATCAGAACTCATATCCCCATTTATCACCATGCGAGTAGAGCGATGCTGGTAGTCGTGGAGCTGTACCAGCACTCCGTTGCCACTCCTCGACACTGGTGAGTGTCGCATTCTGGATAGCCTAATATGGAATACATTCTAAAAGATCATGCATCCCCCCGTACATGATAGCGACCTTCACATGTCTTCAACCTCTCAGCCCGTACGGCTACCTGAAAACTGTAGGAATGATGGTAGGGACGAACGATGTGAACATCACTGAGTTCGATTTAGTTTCAACGAAGATATTGAATTTCCAAAAATGTGATGTGATGGCCCTATGAGCTCATCACATGTACACCCTCATACCGCACCAGTTTAGCTTTCTGCATCTCCAATGCAGTAATGACCATCGTCCTGTCCTGCTCTGCCTGCCTCTGCCGCTCAGCCCATATTTGATTCCTCTTCTCTAGAGCTCTCTGATAACAACACCATGTAAAAGAGGCAACAACAAGGTCTATCCTACCCTAGTCCGATAGGTCTCTTGAATGTTCTTCTGGAGTTCCTTCACCTTACCCTCCGCTGCCTCCAATCGGTCCTTCTCGTCCTGTATCACCTTGCGTATATCCTTCTCATCGTCCTCACCTGAGCTCGTCTCTTCCCCCTCCACCTCCCCACAAAAGCCCCTACCTATCTGCCCATCAGCATCAACATGTTCACCAGCTAATCTACGAGCCCCATCTACATCCCTACGAGCCTCCTCAAGCCATCGTTTCACAAGCAGCATAGCCTTCTCCGAAGCTTCTATCGATTTCTCTAGTTTCGTCCTCTGAAGAGCAACCTCCCTACAATGCCATCCGCCCTATACCCTTTACGAACCTTATCGCACAGACCCCTATTCTGGTGTCGTAGTTCCTGAAGCCTAGCCCCAGCTTGGCGTAGCTTCTGCCTCAGTTCTCGTTGCTTATACAGCTGCTCACGTATAGTATCCCGTAACGAAGGTGCCTATGGTGATCTTTGCTCCAGAATTTTACTTAACCCCAAAGAGCCCTCCCACCTGATCGGCCCCTTCCTTTTTACTATCACCAACTGCTAGCTGAGGGGCTGTTTGCGGCACTTCTCCTGAGATCATCAGCTCCACACAAGAAGTATACCGTGAGTACTACCTTCGACACTGCTAGCTGCGGTCGGCTTGAGATTAGGTAAACTCGCTGTGTGTGACAACACTGAACGGCATAACACTGGAGTTTCACCCGTTTTACGTGACTTCGTGAAAAACGCGATATTTTCGCCTTGCCATAGTCGTGAAATATGTTTTTCATATCACTAGGGTGAAACTCCACTGATTCGCATTCACGAAATTCAAAAAACAATATGGCAGATTCTGCGCAAGTG